TGAAACCTCGAGCGATGGTGACTATCAACGGAGACGGTTCGACGGTCGGGAGCTTCGACGGCGAAGAGACCGTGACGCGGACGAACATTTCAGCGCTAATATGTACGATGATGAAGGCCCAAGTGCTAGCACCGACTATTCAGACACAGAGAGAGGTCGCGACGGACGAAGACGGAGCGGACACCGGGAGCTTTTCCCTGACGAAGGACGTTCATCTGGACGCCTTCGAAATCGGAGCGCCTCTCCAGGTCGTGACACGCTGGCCGAGAGTGGTCGTCTAGAGCAAGAGGAGCGCGGCACACGAAGTCGCTTCCGGGAGCGCTCGCCACAGCTTAGCCGTCGCAACCAAGGCAAGGAGCTTTTCCCCTCTCGTACTAGCGACAGCGATTCCAATTCCCGCGAGCTCTTTCCAAACAAACCAACGTCTAGTTACCTCAAGAAGGAACTTTTCCCAAGCAAACAAAGCAATCATCGCCGCTCGGATGCGATCGATGCCGCGGATGAGACAGCAGATCTGTTCTCGAGGAGAATCTCCGTGCCCCTGGTTGATAGCGCTCGGGACCAGAACTCGTCGCGCAATAAGAACTTCGACTTGTTTCCCGACTCGGCGAATCAAAACGGTGTCAACATTCGTGGAGCAGCTGGCCAGGATCAGGGTATCTCGATTCGAGGTGCGGCCAACGGTATCTCAATCAAGGGTCGAGGCGCATCTGTCCGAGAGCTGTTCCCTTCCAAGTACAATTCCAATGCCGGCAAAGAGTTATTCTCTGATAAGATAGAAGGACGAGGAGGCCCTCGAAGGAGGGCCGAGGACATGTTTGGCTAAGGGGAATAAAAGCTCTCGCATGAAGCATTAAAATTTTGGAATCTGCTACTCTTTTGTTTCATTCTGCTCTAAATACCTAAGGATGGCCTGATACCATTGCATACTGAATTCGTCCGAATCTTTTGAACTAGTTCAAATTTCTATCCAAACTGTATTAGTATGACGATTTCTAATAGTTCCTGCATGAAGCAGTCAAAATTTCATTCCGGAGTACCTCGTTCTTGTAAGGCATTATTATTTTAGGAATGGAACTCGCTCACAGCGATTTGACCTTCGTTCGTCTTCGTTTGTCAACCATTCCGAATCGCCAGACGCACCAGCTCGGCAGGATGACTGCAACAACACAGCTGGCCAGTATTCTAGTGGCCCGCTTTCTTCGTATGAATAATTATACAGACACCCTGAATGTATTCATCCGAGAGGCGGGACTTCCAGCCAACGCGGGGCAACCGGATGGAAAGACCGACGACAAGAGCGAGTGGACCATCGAGGGAATCCTCGAGGAGAAACAAACATTTGATGAGAGCTTGAAATTTGAGCGATACGGTCAAAATGAAGAGAAAGACGTCTGGACGGTTCCAGGTCGGTTAACAATCGTTCCCTCGCTGTCTTGCGGTTTCGACGTAGCCGGGAGATATTTATGTTTGCTGACACAACCCAGCACCCTCAACACCAAATGTCATCCAGACACCAACCTCTGCCAATCTGTTGGCATGTTCGGTAGAGCCCTGGCACAATCCTAGTCCGAAGGAGAATCATGATACCCCGTCACGTTACATCGTCGCCACGGGTGCAGATAGACAAGTGCACCTTTTCAAGACAGACGAAGGCAACGATGTTGTCGCTTCGTTTGCTGGACACTCTGACTCCCCGGTGTTGTCATACGCGCATATCCAAAATGGCAAATACGTCCTTATGACCAATATGTCCGGTCAGCTTCTTCTCCAACGGGGTGCTGAGATTCTGTCCCGCCGTAAAGATCATGCCAAGTATGCAGTCAAGGTGATTGCATATGAAGAAGATGACCAGCCAGACGAAATTACAACGAAAGTCGTATGGGTCGCTACCGCTGGCTGGGACTCCAAGATCTTACTCTACCGTCTCCGTATCCCCAGCAGAGCAGGAGATCCTGACCGCGTGGAGCTCAACGAGCCCGTCACCCACATCAACCTGCTAACCAACCCAGAATCGATCCTGTTCGTCCACCATCCAGATACCCAGGAACTCATCCTGCTCGCCTCGCGGCGCGACTCGACCTATCTCTTCTACTACGGCGTCCCGTCATCGACGAGTACCGACACACCCAGCAAGTGCAGGCTCCTCGGCAAGCAGAACCTAGCCCCTCACTCAAACGCCTGGGTGGCGTTCTCCCCTTCATGTCTTGCTCTGAGTCCGCACGACCCCGGCCTCATAGCTGTCGCGACTTCAACCCTCCCGCACATGAAAGTTATCATAGTGCGCCTGCTATTCCCCAAGCAGGGGTCGTCGGAGTCGTCGGAGTCGTCGGAGTCCTCTCTGCCCTTGGGCAGTACGTCCGCGGAGCCAGAGACACAGGCCACGCAGGCCATTGCTGCGCTTGCGCTTCAGAACCGGGAAGATGCGGCCATCATGATCCAGGCGAATACGTTTGCGCCGCAGACGGTCTACTCCACTCCGCAGGTGGTTTGGCGGCCGGATGGGTCGGGACTGTGGGTGAATGGCGATGATGGGGTGATTCGGGGGGTGGAGACTATGACGGGGAAGGTTACGGCGATGTTGAAAGATGGGCATCAGGTTGGGTCGAAGGTACGGGCTATCTGGGCTGGTTGGGTTGAGGTGCAGCGAGACGGCAAGGTGGTGAAAGAGGAGTGGCTTGTAAGTGGTGGGTTTGATAAGAGGCTTGTTGTTTGGAGGGTGTAGATCTTGTTTGAGACTATTGAGGTCTTGAAGCAGGTCCTCTGAATTGGAACGTATGACGGAGCTCAGAAACCGTCATCAAAACAGAAAGAAAATCGGAAGATAATGATAATTATCAGAACTATCTTGCTTACGAGTATGTAGCCCTCCGTCCATGCACCCTCTCGCCACGGGAGAGAAAGGGAAAGGGTGTTTGGTAATAGGAGGGCATGGGATCTCTTCTCGGCACGTTGAATAATCCTTCAGCAATCGCGCATGGAAAAAGACACGAAGCTGTACACACATATGCCTGAATGTACGAGTGGGACGACGGACAATCGATCCCGGTGTAGAAGAAAGCAAAAACAAGACTGAATCGAATCGGGACGAAGACGATGCAAGACGAACAGCGGCTCGTGCCTTCCTGCCCCAACCGTAGAACCAAGATCATGCTCCAGGCACTCATGATGGCCAAGTCGTGGAATCGAATCCATTTTTGTGTTATTTAACAAGCCGTCGCGCGAAAACCCAGCCAGGCTCTTCCGACATGACGCTTTGTGTCATCGCACGTTAAACCAACTCAAATCGCTTCCCATTTAATTTCGATGATTTAATTTATGCGACCTCCCGCTTGCCCTCCTTGCGCTCCTTCTGTAGGATTGTTAGCCATGTCCTCCGGCACCCAGCTGCCTCCGACTCAGCAGCAGTCAAGATCAACGTACCAGAGCCTTCATGGTGCCGTGGAGAGCGTGTCTGTGGTTGCGGCGGAACTTGGGGTCAACACCCTTGAGGGAAGGGTAACGGTGAGTCTTAGGCTTCTTGATACTGTTGGAAACAAACGGCAAATATCAGCGACCTGTCTTTCCCCTCTTGAAAAAGCTGGTTGGTGGATAAGTTGCATGCTGGTCGCGAGTCATTCAAGACCGATTCGGTGATGTCAAACTCATCACTGCAACAAAATCCTTCCTCCCGACTGAAGTATTCCGATTTCAATATTGCTGAGGACTGTACGAACCCGTTACGGTGAGCCTTCTGGCTGCGGTGGTGCTGAGACGCGTTCTTGGACTCTGTTCAAAGTGCAAATGACCGTCAGCGATTTCCGAACCGTCCAGGGAGATTGTGCTGGTATGAAATCGAATCGAGAATTCCAAAAAGCCGGGTTTCAGGTAACGTACTGGCCATCTTGACGGGATGTGTCGCAACAAGAAACGGGTTGACGATGAGTTGGCGGATTGAAGATGTCCTTGAACTGAGCAGAAGGCTAGAGACCCCCAAAAGATTCAGGCTAGGGCTGCTGGAAAGATTTGTGTGGGATTTCGCTTACTGCTCCAGCGGCTAGCGTGATTGGTCCATTAAGTCCAGCCAACTGCGGCAGCGCCAAATGGCTAAGGTATATGATGTTCACAACAACACTTGCTGCCAGCCTCTATCATGCTGTTCCTCTACGCGCTGTGAGACTTCTTGCCTATATGATTGTCTTTCAATCTTGACCCTTGTAGGGGGCAACTTATCAATTCTCAAGATTGAGTACTTGTGCCCTCATAAGAACGGTCGCAAATGTGAAAGGGATCCCGTCCTGATTAGTAAGCTGATTGCTAAACATCGCTTGGCACGGATGAACAAGTGACAATGATGCCAGAGATCGCTTGCTTGTTACAGGAGGGTAGTAGGGCGAGTCAACAATAGTTCAGGTGCTCAGTAAGCCATTGTGAGCTCGAAAATACATTTGCATAGGCGAGGGATATCCGGTACGAAGATCAAAGACACAGCGTGTAGGCACGAATATCACGTGATTATATATATCGTGGTGCTTGAGAGATCCACATTGAATCGTACGGAGTACGTCTCCGACATCAATGTATTCCTTAGTAGAGCATATGCCATTGATATTCCTTTTGAAAGAATCTGCTGATGGCCCTGGGCATGCCACTGCTGTCCGAAATGGATACGAAAGCTTCGCAATCGATGTAGGCGCAATGCGCGATGGAGTCTATGTCCTAACAATAGGCGAGGGATATTGGCCCTTCATGATAGAAGAATACTTTTTTCATCATCATCAATCCATCAACAAGACCTTGTATATAACACACAATTTCAGGGTCGTTCAATTAGCTGGCTGAAGATTGGTGTTGAATTCTTCGGGGTTGTTATATTTGTTGCCTACTTCAAAAGACGAGTTCTGTCACGTGATGTGAAGAGCCGCTAGGGAACAACCGGCATGCGGACTTCGACCTTTGCATCTTTGACCCAGGTTCAAGAGGGATACCATCACCACCTTCTCCCTTCCATCCATTGCAAGATGAGCTCTCTTCGCTTCGCTCGCTCTGCCCTCAGGGCTCGTCCCTCTGCTCTCCGCGTTCCTCTCCAGCGCAGAGGTTACGCTGAGGCTGTGTCGGACAAGATCAAGCTTTCCCTGGCCCTTCCTCACCAGGTACGATCCGAAATAACTGAGCGCATCCTGCTGCTCGTATAGGCTGGAAACTGACATAGGTATCTTGGAACAGACCATTTTCAAGTCGACCGGCGTGTACGTGACGGCTCATTCCCTTCTGATCGACGACCGACGATTCTGACCATGACTTGAATGTGTACTGACCAGCTTGCCCCTACAGTGTCCAGGTCAACATCCCCGCCGAGTCCGGAGAGATGGGTGTCCTCGCCAACCACGTTCCCTCCATTGAGCAGCTCAAGCCCGGTCTTGTTGAGATCGTTGAGGAGGGTGGTGCCAACAAGAAGTTCTTCCGTACGTCCGGACAACCCCGCTAAGATTTGCGCTGCGATATTGCGGTTCCACGAAAATTGTCGCATTGCTTTCTTTCAGCATGACACTAACAAGTCTGCGTTCTTCAGTTTCTGGTGGTTTCGCCGTCGTTCAGCCTGACTCCGCTCTGAGCATTAACGCCGTGGAGGCATACCCCCTCGAGGACTTCAGCGCCGATGTAAGTTGTGGAAACGAAGAAAATGTCTTGATATACTTTTTTGACCGTCATCTTTCAATTACAGGCTGTCAAGTCCCAGATTGCCGAGGTTCAAAAGATTGCCAGTGGCAATGGCAGCGAGCAGGACATTGCTGAGGCTAAGATTGAGCTGGAGGTAGGTCAACCGCAAACACCTTGGCATGAACCTAGACTCAATGACTAACGTTGTCACAGGTTCTGGAGACCCTTCAAGCCGTCCTGAAATAGATTCCTGATGTACATAACCATTCGCGATTGCAATTCTGAACTTGTAGAATTATAACAATTCTCCGGCAAGGTCCTGTCAATGATTCTTGCACCTTATCCTACCATGTGCCCTACTCTGTGAATCATGGAGTCCTAACCCTCAGGAGAGTCGTGCGGGACTCGAGGGGATCACGCCTTCCCAAATGGAATCGCAATCTACTAACTTCCTTACTTGGCCCGCAATCCTATTATTCTTCATCCTCTCCCTCGATCCCTTATATCTAATTGACAAGCTTCACAGGTCTCTTCTTCTGCCGTCGCCCATTTTCTGATACCTACAATAGTTGACAATGGGGCAAGTAACACCGCAACAACAGTTCGGCCCTTCACATACATTGCAGTTTGCGCTGGAGAAGCATCTGCAGGAAAATGCGCCGGTTACTCCTTCAAAATCTCCTAACAAGATCAGGCTCACAGAATCGGAAGGCGACATTCGCAATGTGCTCGACGAATATCCAACCAGATTGGGTCTGTCTCATGTGCTTGAACTCGACGAAGTTCGAAATGACCGAAGTACGAACGCCAAGGCTGCTACTCCAACAATACCCTTCAGTCGGCAGCCTAATACGCACTTTGTCTTTGATGAACCCTTGCCCACAAATCCAAATAATAGTCCGGCGTCTGAAAGCGAGCAGGCAACCCAGCTTTCGTCTGCGCACCTGTACCGCGATAAAAACAGAAAAAGTACGCTCTCTTCACATAAGCCTAACATCATCTCGATCACCTGGCCAGATTGCAGCTCAAAGAAAGTCCAAGCCAACTTTTTGAAAAACGAAGGTGGAAGCATTTGGAGACCGCCAAGGCCACCAAAGCCTCCTTTCCTCACTAATGCTGCTGGAGAGGGTTCCAAGCCTTCTGGCCAAGCACAACCTCGAGCAAGTATAATCTCACCAGAGCGCAAGCACACCAAGCCATCGCCCCGCGCAAGTCTTCCCCAGCCTCGAAGATGGCCTCGACCACATTCTCGCTTTGTGGAAAATCTTCCTTCGGAAGAGAAAAATGCTTCAACTGTGCAGAAGAAGGAGGCATGGATCAATTCAAGCCCACCTAAGCCTCATCATCAGCGGAAAATCGCCCATCGCGGTACTGAGAATGCCTACCGTGTTTTATTAGGCGACCCAGACAAGCCATATCCAGCTGCAATACCTACCAATGATAGATTACCACTGCTTCGGGCTGTACTTTCGCCTGACTCCCGAATCGCATTCTTGAGGTCACTCAACACCGACTATGGAGCCTCATCTGGCAGACTGACAGAGAATAAATTTCCAAAGCATTTAGCTGGTTTGCTGTCGCGCCCTTCAAGATTGATTCCCCACTGGCAGAAGCTAAGCAGCTCCACTCCGATAATATTGAGCCTATACCAACCTCTGTACAGCCCGCGGTGCTCCTCGTTACTTCAAGTTTCATACATGGTGCACGTGGAAGCTGTCTTACCAGCCGACCGGAAACGTACTGCAGATTCCGAACAGGATGTGCCTTCTTTCCATACTTCAATGGATGGGTATACACGTCTTTTCCAACTCCGCCTCCCTATGCCCACCTTATGCTTCGACATCGTCCGGCTATTCGTCATTGGCATGCGGCATCCGATCTTAATGACCGTTGCATCGCTATTCGTCTGTGTCTTCGCAATTATCCTACGATTCCTTGCTGGTATGGGTTTTCACAGTCTATTCAGGCTTCATGAAGACCGCCCTTATTCGGAAGAGGAAGATTCGGATCCCGTTGCATTCGAAAAGTGACGGCTCATACTTGCAAATCAGGGTTCGGAGAACTATATGGGAGCAACGGAGTTTAAACGGAGATCCTCTGTATCCCAACTCATGGTTGTTTTATGGCTATACCTTTCTAGTGAAGAGACTGCTACGTTCTTTCCTATGCATGTACAATCTCCAGTGAGCCGGACTATAGTCATGAGTGAGACCGGAATGATCAGACAAAGAAAATTTTACCTTATCAATTGCTCTATCATTTCAGAACCTAGGAACTGAATAGCGTGAAATGAGAGAGCCCAGAGACAAGGCACAGAAATTCAAAATAGGATGGGCCGCATATACAAGGACAAACATGACGACATCACAATCGGTAAGCCAATTTCAATACATTATTACAATCTGAGAGACAAACTGAAAATGGAGAAAAGAACCACCCCAGAAACATGAAGCATGACGACGTGTATCATTACTTGCCCTTCACCAATTCCTTTAGTCTCTTTTCAAGGACCTGTCGACCTTCAGTGGTCCTCCACACCTCATGAGGCGCACCCTTGACGATATCCCAATCCTTCAAGTTCTTGGTGATCTTGGTCAAATCCTCCTGCGTCTTGGCCCACTTCTGGCTCTTGCGGACCTCGACCCCGGAGCTTACGACGACAAGCGGCGTATCGGGCATCTGGACATGGCGCGCCGTCTGAATCTCGGAGGCAGTCATTGACTCGGCGACGAGATTCTCCTGCAACTTGGCCTTGAGGAATTTGCCCGTTTGGTACGCACTGCGGCCGTAGACGCGGTCTTCCCGCGTGCGGCCCTTGAATATGGCGCCGGCGATGCGGTCCAGGCCCAGAGGGGAGAGGATACCACGTAGCCAGAGCAGGAAGCCGCGGCCGGCGTTGCCCACTTGGCCGAGGTAGTCCTCGTGCATGGCGTCGATGAGCATGATGCCCTTCGTTTCGAGGAGGTGGCGGCTGGAGAAGATTCGGCTGTAGATAGACCCGATGCCGGAGGAGACCAGGATCCAGGGTCCTTCCTCGCCGGCTAGGGCGAGGGCTTCGGAGAGAGCATCGGCGGCCATGCCGGCGGAGTGCGGGGAAGGGGCATTGTCGGACCAGGCGTATCCTGGCCGGTCCCAGTAGCAGTAGCGGTCGATGAGGCCTTGTTTGTAGACGTCGTCGATGAATGGTTGCAGGGAGTGCTCGACTGGGCCTTCGCCGCCTTCGAGGAGGACGGTGGGTGGTCTGTTTCCGTTGCCGTCGGTAGAGCCGTTGATGGGGCCGACACAGGCGAGGTGGACTTGGTATTTCTCACCGTTGACAAGGTACTTTTGTCCTGGGGCGGGGAGGGAGGCATCCCGGGCGCGGATGATCAGGGTTGCAGTGAAAAGGATTGAGACTATCGCGATCACGACCATGAAGATCGTTTCGAACAGGACGGCGATCCATTCCCGGAGTGACCGGCGGGTTTCCTCTCGTCCGGTAAGGCGCTCCTCTTCCTCCCTCTTGCCCCAGGCAACGGTGCGGTTCTGAAGGATGTTGAAAATGGATATCAGGGTGACCCAGACGACCGAGGCGATACCGACCCAGCCCTCTTCTACACGGAGCTGAGGTACGCCGAGGATGATGCACATGTCCACAAAGAGAAAGATGGATAGTACCAGGCCGGATATCGTCATGACCTTTGACGGGACAGTGAAGAATAGCAGCGCGATGATGAGGTAGCTGACGGTGAGTGTGGTATACGCGAAACTGAAAAAGCCAGAGCCACGGCTGTGCATCATTGGAGGGCTGACGAAGATGGAGACGAGCAGGAACGTCCACCAGACAAAACTGACGGCAAGGAAGAAAGAGGAGAAGGCTCTGAGAGCCCTGACACTCCACAGATTGTAGGGGGACACCTGATAGTAAAAATATGTTAGACAAGCACGAACACAGGAGGTTTGCTCTCTTCAACATCCAGGACGAAGCAACTTACTGCAGGATCATCGGGACTCAGATATGCTTGATTTTCTCTCGGCAGTAGTCGTGTCCGTTCATCTGCTTCATGATACTGCCCTCTGGATCCATCATCTCCCTCACGCCCTTGTTCCTCCCGTTCCGAGTCATCGTTCCTCCGCCACAGTGAAACCATCGTCCTCTGCGCGGCCTAAGTCATAGGTAGAACTTCAGTAATAGATGACAGTGGGAGTTGTTGTGACTGTGCTGCCAGGAATATCACGCGAAGAATAAAAATTAAACTTGAATATATAGGGATGGGTGAATTATGAATGAGAAAGAGTCGAGACACTGAGATACTGATAGATCATGAATCCTTGGTGGAGTGAAGGAGTTGACGTCATGACGAACGCAGCGAGGGCAGCGCCAAGGAGAGGGTTCGACACCAAACAGGATCTGCGATTCTTTTTTAGGCCGTAGATAGATAAAATGTTTGCCCCCGGAAATGGAGCTGGTTCCCAGCTGATCAAGGGGATCTCCATCATCGACGATCCTAGAGGGCTAGAGGGCCAGAGCCACCGATGAATGCATTATCCAGCTCCCGCAGATCAGGCCCGGTGAGGTCATCAATCAAGTAGATCATTCTCACAGAGGTACCTCTCTCTATGGACCTACAATCTGGAGGAAGCCTCAACTGACTGAGGGGCAACAGAAGGCTCGTTGGGTCTCAGTAGTGCCAGTGATCTGGACTAGAGATGAGTGCACGCCCATACTGTTAGAGGAGCATTTTTTGGTGTCTTTGATTTTGGAAAGGTACTGCACAGAAATCGATGCGGAAATATATATCAGGATCCATTTCAGGGGGGTTTGAATCAATATCAACGACTGGCGCTTGGAACCTTTTCATGCTCTAGGATCCCAACATCTGAAGATTTATTTGCCATCGATGAAAATATCGATGGTTCCAAGCGTCTCTTAGTGATAATGGACAGGAGGGGATGATGTTGATGCTGAGGACCTGAGGACATGTCAACGTTGACTCCGTATTGTTATCGATAAGGAAGTAGACACATGCTCTTCAAAGCACACAGTAGCACATTCATCAACGTCTGCTTTGCATGTCCAGGATGCTTTGATAATAAGACAATTGAATCAATGATATAAAAATCATTGTAAATGTCAGTCCTATTTCTCCTCCTCTCCACTATCTAGACCAGTGCCAAAACCCCTGTTTATGTTGGGCTTACCCCACGGTTGCCACAACGCCATCTCCTGATGGCATGTTGGCTATCCATATGAACTTCCTTCCCCAACCAACGAATTTGCTCTGACTGCAATATAGAGGGATATATAATCGGACATAATCATAGTTAATAACCGTCCATGAGCGATCTTCACAAGGCTTTTGCCAAATCAAAGCTGGCCAAGTTGCCGCCCGAGGCCCCTCCTATATTCGAGTCTTCGTCAATGAACCCCCACGACGAAAGCAGTCACGATGAGGACTCCTCTTCAGTCTCATCGGCAGGGACTGTGGTTCCCTCGCCAAGCAGGCAGCTGTTCGCCAGAGCCAGCCAAGGGTACGTTAGCGCAGTCTTCCTGCGCATGCATATGCATCCCCGGATCCATCCACCCAGCCTTCCCCATGGGACTCCGGCGTGCTCATATGGCGAAAACCCTGCTAATGAATTCTTCAGATCGTCTGAATCCTCCTCACTGAGCTGGTCAGACTTCTTTGCCCAAGAGCTCTTTCTGACCCAAGAAACCGGCAATCTCCGCATCGTCCACCATGTCTATCTCACGCTACCTGCCGATTCAGGTCCACTCTTTGTCATGCACCATGGAGCCGGTTCATCGGGTCTCTCATTTGCGACCTGCGCGGGTGAAATCCGCAAGATCCTCCCTAAAGCTGGGATCCTGTCATTAGACGCGCGCGACCACGGCCGGACGTCGGCGGAAAGGGAGGATGGAGGGGTGGTGGAACTGGATCTTAGCCTCGAGACTCTCAACCGAGATTTGGTCTACGTGGTCCGCAAGACCCAGACGGAAATGGGCTGGAAGGATCTTCCGGACCTTGTTCTTGTTGGGCATAGCCTCGGGGGGGCTGTCATTACTGATGTTGCGAAGAAGGGCGAGCTAGGTTCCAGACTACTGGCTTATGCGGTGCTGGATGTTGTCGAAGGTATGTGATATCGACCCGTGGCTGTTATCCCGTGGGTTGATTTTCTGACAATGCACAGGCTCAGCCATGGATGCCCTCCAGAGCATGGAGAAATATCTCTCCACTCGCCCTTCCAGATTCCCCTCGTTGACATCAGGGATTGAGTGGCAGTAGGTCGAACTAATCTCTTCCTCTGCGACTACAAAACTAACCCGCTGCTACAGCACACGTTCCCGGACAATCAGGAACAGAACCTCAGCTAGAGTCTCCGTCCCATCCCTACTCTACAGAGAAGAAACCCCCTCAGACCCCTCCAAACCCTGGGTCTGGCGGACCAACCTCTCAGCCACGAAGCCCTTCTGGGAAGACTGGTTCATCGGCCTCAGTCGGAAATTTCTTGAGGCGCGCGGCGGTAAACTTCTCCTGTTAGCCGGGACAGATCGGCTGGATAAGGAGTTGATGATCGGGCAGATGCAAGGTACGCTGTTCCAGTTGTTTCTGTTCTTTGCCGTGTATCTGCCGTTGCCGTGCCGTGCCTGCAGCTGACATGTTATGTTCAACCCAACAGGGAAATATCAACTCCAGGTCCTCCCCGAAGCGGGCCACTTCGTCCAGGAGGATCTGCCGGCAAAGACGGCCCAGATCTTGGTGGACTTCTACAAACGGAATGATCGGAGCGCGCTCGTGCTTCCGCCAAAAGTGGCTGATATGCAGGCTTCCGCTGCCATGCAGAAGGGCGCAGGCGCTTCATTTACTGGTTCGCAGTGTGGTGGCAGCACGCGACATCCGCAGAAGCCGTAGAGTAGTGAGAACATTTCTCTTTTCTATAGTTGCGCGGCTTCCTGACAAAGAGGGATTGTCATGTCTCGGCTGTAAGACTTACAAACATGGATTTGATTAAATCATTATTGGACAGATGAAAGCTGGGGACTTTCTTTGTACTCATTTGAACCTAAGCATTGCCAATGTAACACCGATGCCGTCCCCCCCACGACGCCGCCGAATATCAAGCCATCAAGCCCCATGATGGTCCAGTGAGTAATGGGAAATGCAAGGGAAGAGATCAAAATACAACACGGGTATCTGGCGCCACTTTTGCAACGTAACGAAACTCACAATTTCTCGTCAAGGAAGATAAGCGCCGCCGGAAATAATCAGATTCATGTTGGTGAACTTGACTTTGTAGACGGGACTCTTCTTCGTCGGGAAGGCGCTGATCTGGTCAGGTGTAACGACGACATCCTTTCCTTTCTTCTTGCCCATTCCCGGAGCAACCGAAGTCGAGGGTTGGGTGGAAGCGGCCGAGGGGTTGCCAGCATCGACCTTTGTGCCTGCTCCGCCTTCTCCGACTGCACGACCTTGGGACGGATCTTGAGCTGGGCCGGTGACATCCCACACACGGACAGTGCCGTCGGCACCGCCAGAGACCAGGACAGTCGACTCAACGCTCCAGCTAAGGGACCAGATGCCTCCTTTCCCATGACCGCGCATGCGCTTCAACAATCTTCCGGGTGCCAGATCCCACAAGAGGATCGACCCCTGATCGTCTGCGGATGCAAGAAGTTTGCCGTCTCTGCTGCAGGCCAAGGCCGTAATATTGCCGGTGTGACCAGTGAACATCCGCACAGCGTTACCGGTGGTAACCGCCCACATGCGGACGGTATGGTCGGAGCTGCCAGTGAAGATGTAGGCAGAATTCGAGTGGAAGCAGACGCAGTCCACATCCTGATCATGGCCGACGAAAATGCGCTGCTGACGAATGTGGTCTGTAACCCAGAGACGAGCGGTCTTGTCATGTCCGCCAGAAACAAAGTAGTGACCAAAAGGTCCCCATTGAAGATCCCAAACGGGCTGATCATGGCCCTTGTAAACGACCATGCACTGCCATAGATCAAGAGACCAGAGTCGGATGGTCTTGTCTGCAGATGAGGAGAGTAGCCAACGGGCGTTGGTCGGCGCTACAGCGCTCTCTGAGCGTGTGGCAGAAGGTGCAAAGGCTACTGCATAAACCGGACCAGAGTGCCCGATCAGACGACGCGAGTTCGAGGGAGGCGCATCATCCACGTTGTCGTAGGTTGTTTGGATTTTCTTGCCATCCATACTCCAAACACGAATATACGACTCCTGCATGCCAGCTGCAACGAGCATATTATCGTCGGAGAAGTCCAGGCAGTTGATTCTATCACTTCATTAACAAAAATCTCCAGTCAAAGAAAACCGTCGTTACTCACCCGTCATAAGTGTTGTGGAATGTGAACATGCAAACACTGACTGCGGGACCAACACCTCCCGTCCGGCCCTCGATTCTGAAACGATCACGATTCTCTTTCACCTTTTGAACTTCCAGAGCCACATCGCGTGCAGTCGAGGGCGGATATGGAATGTCGGCACGACTGGGCGCTTCGTCGTCTTCTTCCTTCTTGATCATCTGGTCAAACTCCTGCACAAGACTGTTGTGGCCAGGTGCCGGAGGATTCTTCATGTCTTCATCTGCTAATTCGCCTCGTACGTCGGTCTCGAGTGTTGATTCCATGGGAAGCTTGCCGAGTCTAAGCCGGGGTAATGTCCCAGCCATTGCCGGATTATCACCGGTATAGGCCGATCCAGGATGGTGACCGGGAATGCCTTCGTCTTCAGCCGGAAACGTTTGCCCCGCTCCTGCTTGGCCTAGCATAGCAGCGAAGCTGAACCGATCATCGGACGCACGCTCTTTGGTAATGATTGTACAGTAGCTGCTCAAAATAGCGGACATAACAGAGCCTCCCTCTTTCTGCTTGATCTCAAGAAACTGCATGAGGTTCGAAAATGCTGGGTTGCTGAGTACTAAGCGGTACTTGTTACCCCGGTAGAGTTTGGCTGTAGAGTTATCCTGAACGTGCTCAGGAAGACTGATGGGTTCCAATTTGCGGACATCGTCTGTGTGCTCCGGGAGGAAAAGGTTCTTGTTCATATCAAAGAACTGTTTGGCTTCTTGTGGGTAATATGATGTAACCATGTTGAGAAAAGAGTAGACAAAAAGCGGCCACAGAACGCGCCTAAGTTCAGGCTGTCCGAAGATAAGCATTTGCCCATGTTGATGATGAGAAAGTGGCCTACCTTGTACAGATCTAGATTGTCTTCTACCCAGACTTTCAGTAGATCTAGATGCATGTACATTAGTATATGTCTAATGATACGATAAGTAGGAATCTCCTCACCGAACCCCAATCTATACTTGGGACGTGCATCCTCGCCAAGAGGAGGTAAAGGACGGCCATCGATTTCTTGGTTAGCAGATTCCATGCGCAGCATGGCTTCAGTACGGCTGTATCCTTTCTTGGCCAGGTAATCAATGACCTAGAAGATAACATTAGCAACGCGGGGAAAAATGCCTGTACACCATGTAAAACCAAGCCATGAAATGAAGTACTGAATCATGAGAGACTTTGTTTCTCATGGGTATATGGAAAGCTGCAGCCGCGGCTCTCAAGCTGAGCACCAACAGCCTGTTTCAAGAGTAACACAGCCACAACAAGCCGCTTATCAACGATGGAAACACCCCACACAAGAGAGATACTCTGAGCAAAACCCACAAAACTCATGCGCCAAAATCTCCAGTACTTACTATTTGATTCAGATTCTGCTGCGACATCGCACCACTCGGCGGCGGCGGCGGCGGACCCGGAGTCGGAACTCCAACTGGGGTGGTAGCTCCCATGGGCTGCTGGGGAGGCATAGACATACCACCACCACCACCGGGACCGATACTTGCACTTCGAGGTGCAGGGCTCGGAGCCCCGCCTGGCGCAGACATGGCCGCGACACTAAATGTCCAGATACAGACGGACGCTTCTTTAGTCGAAGCCAAAGGCTGCGTTCGATCGAAGAGCGAAGAGAAGATGCGAAAGTGACTTGATTTGGGATGGTTCAATAAATCGGGAGGCTTGCGAAGTCACGTTTCTGATATTGAGCTAGGACTTTCTGGGGTTAGCGCTGGAGCTTGGTTTAGGTAATCAGGCTATCACTGTCCATCATCACGGCACGTGATGAGATAGCTACAGGTTACTCTTACCTTGACCTTATCTTCAATTGGGTATTATTGAGACTTGACTTGCTGGTGAAATCCCTCAAATGTCATAGAGATGGCCGAGAGCAGGGACTCTGCACAGCCAGATCAAGTATTTACTTCAGCGGACCGAATTCGCCAGTTGAACGAGGTGGACAAGGTAAGGAGGTAGATCTGCGCGACTCTCAACATAGACACAAACGAACCTTTACGCAGCTGTCACAGAACCTCACTTAGCTAGCAGACACTAATCGCTCGCAGGATGTTGCAAAACTAATCCACTCCGCCGGTCTCGCAATCCAAGCCCTCACAAACGCCAGAACGGCCGACTCCCCGGAGGACACTTCCCTCGAGTCGCATAAAGCGCGGTTCAAAGAGGCCACGTCGCGGTACTTTGCGCTCCTTTCCTCTATCGATGTCAGATTACGTCGCCAGGTATACGCTCTGGAGGAAGCTGCTATCTTAGCGCCGGAGTCAGCCTCGAGGACGGGTGATTTACCTGGCGCTGGCGGAGGAGCTGCAACGGGTGCTTCGAACCCGTTGGATGTCAGCTGGTTGAATAGCAGGAAGGACACTGTAGGGAAAGATAAGGAAGCTGAGCTGTGGGCTGCAGCGAGGCAGTTCGTGGAGCGACTTGGCGATTCCTCAGCTGCGAGCGTGAAGGTGGAAGGTGGACATAAGATGGAGGTCGATTGAGAGGCCCTAAACATTTTGAGGTTGCCGACTACTAGGCGGATCTCAGTGCGCTGAAGTTCTTAGTCTTACAAGTCAAGCTACATCTTATGGGGGCCAACGAGTAGTGCTTATATGATACCCACACACATTGAATTGGAGATTCCCAGTCCCAGTATGCTTTCATGAAAGAACTTCTTCACCAGGAGTTGAAAAGAAACGATACCTATTTACTCTCAGAACAATGAACGTCTTTCCCAGAGATTACCGATCTTGACACGTATGGTTAAAGCTTTGATGATGCGAGATGAGGAGTAAGAACATAGGCATACTGATGGTAAGACGACAAGCACAGATGCTGGTTCGCAGAACTCAAAGAGCAATGGCTGGCCGATGCATTACCGCTGCATAGACCTAATCATCTCCAGATGCGCAGCCTTCTCTTTATTGGTTTCCGAAAGCGGAGCGAGGCCTGTATTCCTTGTCAGCATATCATTTCCTTGGTTCTACCCTGAAAAGAGAAGCGGCTTACTTCGAAGTTCACCCACCACATCCTTGGCCTTGCCAAAGTAGACCTCCTCTGCCATCGCAAGTCAGATTAGCATGTGACATGTACCGAGTATCATCAACACAACTCTCTCCAGAAGTGACACATACGCAACAAGTTCCGCATCTTCAACTCCATATCCTCGACGAGCCTACCCACATTGGCGACATGGCTCGCATCCGACTCCACAGGCAGATCAACCTCCATCTGCCGGGTCATATTGCCGCTGAGATCCATCTCGCCGAGGGCCTCATTCTCGTTCGCCAAGTGCAGAATCACCGTGCTCGTGAGCTTGTAATGAGACATGCGCGCCCTATCAGTCGCCTCGAAGACATGGATGCTGTCCCACTCTCCCGAGCTCTTCGCTCCGGGCGTAACACCTGCCCGCATTACCCATTAGCAAAGCCCATATCTCACCAGTCATCAAGTAGCCCTTGCGCACCTTTCTTCAGAAGGATAACACCCGCAAACCCATCATCTAAATCCCAAAAGTAAACGCTGCCCACTCCGCCCTCATAGTACAGCTCCCGATACACGTCAAACGCCTCGTTAGCCGCAACCTCGAGCTTCCTCACCCGCTCGCTGGGAACCGTCCCGTCCTCCAGTGGCGGATCGAACTCATTGCTCCAAGGCGAGCGGTAGCTGTCTCCGTCCCGGTTGTAATCGCAGAGCAGGTAATCGCGGTTCGACTTCGGGCAGCGGCGGATCTCCAGTGGCTGGTCGACGGAGGAGAGGAGGTCTTCGGTCAGGTCGGGGACAATCGACGTAATGGCCTGCAGATTCTGTTTCGTGTCGCGGGGGTTGAGGCGCCGAAGAAGATCGCTAGAGGGTGGTTGTTATGGTCAGCTTGAGCTGTTGTTGTCTCCGAGCGGGGTTACACTCCGCTGTCTGGGTTCTCGTTCTAAGGGCTCAAGATGTGGGATATGAGGTATCAGTTGCTGTGGATTGAATACTTACAGCGCACTGTCAAATTGAATGTCCGCCATGGCTGTGAGATATGGGAAGAGTGTTGTATTTGTATAGCTTTTGGTGAAACCGGGACCTCCCTCTCGACTTGGCCGATTAAGGTGCGTGCGCGGAGGAAGTGGAGTGTGGTATTTAGGCCACCCCCTGAGACTGGAGAACGGTCTATGTGAACATGCTATGATCATCCCTTAGAACAAGACAGGATTCGAGACTCATCTATTGTTATCTAATTTTGGGTATCTAGAGACAACGATAACCTTCCAGAAGCCAAGCTCAAGTATCCAAAAGTGTCCACGCTGACCCAAAATGTCATTCCTCACTGTCATCATCAAGAACAAATCTACTCCGTTTGCGAGAAGCATGGCGCTCTGCGCTGCGATTGAAAAGTGTCTCAACATCGGGGAGATCAAGATCTGATTCAAAATCGTCCTGGCTTCTTTGTGATGAATAGAAAGGTCTTTCTGTGCGAGGTTCTAGAAAAGATGATATCAACTTCTCAGGGGACAGCAGTTCGGGAGTGCAATCGTCCTCATTTTTGTCTTCCCGCACAGGTACATTGTTTGGCCTTGAGGTAGCCGACTGCTTTTTCAACGCGTACAGCTTCTTACCAAGCGGTCGGCTATTCTGTGCTGGAGGAACTGATTCGCGTGAGAGGACTGAGTCCTCGATCTTCTTGTTTGACTCCAGAGCCAACACTTTCTTGTATCGGCTTTCACAATCAGCACTCACCTTACTCATTTTTTGGAGAGTGCCAATTATGCGGCGGGTCAAGGAACCGTGTTTAACAGCTTTTGTTGGCCTGAGAACGGATTGCAGGCGAGGGTAAGCGTCAACGCGTGGGTTCCGGATGAACTCTGGGCTAGTGCCTCCTATATGACAATAGCGTCGCTCAAGATCCTGTTGCTGAGCGGGCGTAAGGAGAATTTCTTCCAGGGTGGGAATCTCCACAGGCTCTGGTGTTGGTTTGCGGATGGTTCTCTTAGTTTCTGCTTTCTTCGTCACTTTCCCAGTGAGACTGGACGCCTTTGCAAAGCCAGTCTCGACATCATCTGGCATATGGAACTTCTTCGGCGGCCTTTTTGGGGGCCGTGCTCTTCTTCTGGGCTCGGGTAAATCAGCCTGCGTGTTCTCCACCGGAATATCGATATGCCTTTTATCAGCCATAGGCCGAACTCCCGGGGGTAAGATGCGAGGGGAGCTGTCGTCATGAAAGGTGAAACGAGTACCGCTGGCAATCATTTGCTGCATTTTCTCATAATTGTCTTTAGCCTTGATATAAGACTCCTCCTCTTTGCCCTGCATCAGAAGCAGCACAATATTACCTGCTCTCTTACGACCAGTACGTCCCATGCGCTGGAGCATGCGGATGGGCGACGCCGACGAGTCGTAGCAGACTATGAGATCAACCTCTCCAATATCCAGACCTTCTTCACCGATTGAGGTCGCCACGATAGTGTTATATGTGCCTTTCTTGAACTTCTGCACAATGCTCAACTGTGTCTTTTGATCCATTCCCTCTGATCCTTTCGCGCTGCTCTGCCCTACAAACACGTGGGGTCGAATCAGAGGCTCGTATCGCTTCAGAACTCTCACAACCTCCTCAGCGCTGTCCCGAAAATGTACAAAGATCATAATTCTTGTTGCTGACTGATTCTGGTCTCCATCGGCTCCCGTTCCTTCCCCACGATCCATGAAGTGATTGAGTACGACCTGTTTGAGGTATTCTAACTTCGGGTGGCCGATGAACTCTGGGTTCTTAGTCCAAGGCTGGAGATGATTCATGAGTTTCTTGAAGCTTTCGTCCTGCACAATTTGGCGTTGATACTTGCCGCCTTTTTGACCGTCAGTGTTAGACTGAAAGTGCAAAAGGTGCCGATAAAACGGCGTGATACCGTGATATTTCAGGAGATCGATGGCATGGGCCAAACTCGCAAGGACGGTAAAAATCGCGTTGACCTTGCCCTTCCGCCCAAGGTTCGCATTCCTCCCTGCGTCCGAACCCATCCATTGCTGACGGGCCTTGGTGAGACCGAACGCGGTGAGAGCCATCGGATCCCTTCCCCAGTAGGCGTTGAGGTTACGGAGTTGGTCGACAAGCGGCTGCAGAGTCCTTGAGAAAAGGTCCATGCATAGCACCATTTCATCGGAATTTTGGAATGTTTGCACCTCGGTGTTTCGAGCATGTACGTACTCCCGAATGTCGAGAGACTGCTCGGTCCGAATCTCCACTTTGGCAATATCCAGGCCATCAATGACGGCTTGCACTGATTCCACGGTGGAACCTGGAGTTGCAGTGAGGGCTAGGACCCGGAAGCTCTTGTTATACCGCTTGAGGAATTTGACCACTTCCACGTATGCATAGCCGCCAGTCGCACGGTGAGCTTCGTCAACAACGAGCAGGACAATACGTTTGGGGTCGGCTATTCCTGACTTGAGGTCATTGACCAGGGTTTGAGGGGTCATGAAGAAAACACGTTTGGTCTTCCATTCCTCCGCCCGAATGCCTGGCGCGGCTTCACCAGTCAGCATTGTCGTCTGTGATCGCGGGATGCCGGCCACCTGGAAGCAAGCAGAGATCTGCTGAGCCACCAGGGGCTTCGTCGGTGCTACGAAGATGATTTGAGCACTCTTTGTCCATCGATACCAATTGAGCATGATGGTGGCTGCAATGAACGTCTTTCCCAGACCAGTGGGAAGGGCAACCAGCAGATTATGGAAAAGACCTCGCTGTGCGATGTTGAATTGGTAGTCTCTCGTCTTCCCCAAATTGGTGGGGTAGACCCATGTGTCTATAGCCTCTTGATTTAGTTTGTGATGAGTAGGGGGTTCATTTTTCTCCGGTGGTGAGAAGATTTGCTCTCCTCGCTGCGATGAGATGTCCGAATTTCGTGCAGTCATGTCGAATAACGTGGATTGCCGTAGGCCTAATGGGCGATTGGTGCTGAATTGGGATTGAACGGGCGGCCTACGTGCCGCTTGGGATGTCGTTCGGGGTGGCGACAAGGATAGATCGGAATCAAAGGCATCATCTGGTATATCATCAAGCTCGAATGGCACATCCGCTGCAGGCTCTTTCAGTGCTGCGGAAGGCGCGACAGCAGTCTGTGCTGCCGAAGACCTGGATACCGCAGAGGCGATAGTTCCCACATTTTCTTCCTCGAATGAGCGCAATGATGCTGCAATAGCAGCCTCCATTTCTTTGTCTTCGTCATAATACTGATCCGGTTGATGACTCGCATCAACTGTGGTTGTTGTAGGCCCGGGCGCAAGAGGTTCGGGCTCAGGCTTTTTCCATCGAGGGCCCCGAATCATCTCCGGGGGCGACGGCGGCTGGGTCAATTGTGTGACAAAAATATTCTCTTGGAAGTTGTTGCGCTTTGGTACAAAGACCTTGTACTTGGAGGTTCTTTCGACATCCTCAAATTGAACGCCGTTAACAGACGCTCGGTCGGGCGATTGTAATTCGTCCTCCCCATCGCCTTGATCTATGGAAATATCGGATTCTAAGTCAAAACTCGTATCAGATCCAGGTCGTAAGTAATATTAGCGTCGTGGCAGCTTGCCTGCATCTTCATCAACCACGCCAGCGTCTAAGCGCCGACGCTTCGCTGGACGGTTGTTCGCCTGGGCTGATTTACCTGCATGAGGTGTCCCAGGGACGATAAAGTCGTCAATCTCATCATCAAAATAATCAGCAGAGTCGTTACCAGAATCTGACATGTCGCGAGCCGCTAGACCTTGATGAAATAGCCGCTCGTCGGATACTAAGTCTCATTGTTTGGTATTGGACCGACAACGCGACGCGGTATCGCGACATCACGTGAGACTAATTGCTTGTGCTCCGGGGTTTGTCTTGTTTGCACTTTTCACTCATGATTTATCGCCTGGCAAAACAGTAGTGACTCGGTGGCGGCGCACGTCCTTTCGCTTCTGGGCTGTTAGTGCTATCGGTGGACGGAGGAGTCATGGAAACCATTTTAGCAGCTCCACTTGGTGCTTTCGATGAGGATTGAGGAGGAAGATTCGAGATATCTTATCCAAGGCAACAGTCGCCCTATCCATACCAAGTTTTACGAACCTCAACTTGTCAGGGTGGAAAACCGACTGTACTTATGGAGCAGCGTCAAGGATCAACAAAAACAGACCCCCTTTTCGCCTCACAATCTCCGTTATGGTCAGAAAGCGCAGGCACAGGAGTCAAAATTGAAACTTGGTCCGAGTCAAATGACTTTTGGCTAGAGGCAGACAGAGTCACACTAAGGAATCTGGTTATTTTTGGCACTCTTATTCCTGAATTCCGACCCCAGATTCCGCATCCACAATCTCCTCATGTCTCTGATCTTTCTACCGTGCTAATAATAATCAGCAAGGGTCTTCACTTTTCAGCTGAAGTTTAATGCCGTTGGCCGCTGATCGAGGGATTCGCAAAATGATGGTTACACTGAATGAGTATATCATTATTTAGTCGAGTATCATTGTGACTATCACAAGGTAGCTTTGATCTATCAAGTGTCACCATATCAGCCAAACAAGGTGGCTTGCTTCAGGATTAGCAGTTGGCGACGATGATCGGATCCTCCTTGGGAACAACCAAAAAATCAATAATATATTCTGTATTTCGTAAGGACAAGCCATCGGCCGATGCTACTGGAAGAATCCAGACTAAAAGGTGACAACCTGATTCTCTCCAATTCTGCACAGCTTTGTCCAACCACAATCGTCCACAGAGCTAAGCTAGCTGAGTAGATACTGCCTGAAGCCTCACTTACCCTGTTCAATGGATAGACAGAGTCCTCGCGATACTCCTAGAAATCAAAAAAGTAATATTTACAGACAGGAAGCACTGAAACCCCGCTAATGAGAAGGCGTAACGACGAAAACTGGGCGGATTCACGGAGTGACAACCTAGACATGGAATTGGATCAGTTACCTTAGTCTACCTTAGTCTGTCCAATATCCACAGGTCAGAGAACCCTTCCCAGCAAGGTTTCATTCATTTCTGATTTGTTGATGGCCTGAGGGTATCTACTATTGTTATTGGTCTTACTTTATTACTCCTCTTTCCCCCAGTTATCCTACTTCTCTTTTTTCTCCTCCTCTTCTTCCTCCTCATCAACAAACACCAGTCTCTCTTTCGTAGCAATCTTCTTTTCTCTTTCTTGCATTGAGATCTCAAAGTCTGTCGCTTCTGGAATCACCACAGTCAGTCCAAGTCAAAATGAAGTTCAACAACATCATCGCCATCTCCTCCCTCTTGGTCCTGGCTACTGCCCAGTCTACCACTACTACCAGTACCGCAGCCTCCACCACAACCAGCCTGTCACCTGAGGCCTCTTGCGCCGCCAAATGTGCGTATCTCCAACTTTCTTTTGAACCATCCATCACGTAAAGCTGACCCTCCCGATTGTATTTAGGCGCTTCTGGTGACGTTTGCTGCGTTGCTGGATGCTACAAGGTCCCCTGCCCTAGCGACCAGCAGGCCAACGACACCATCAGCTGTGTTGCCGCTTGCCCTCAGGGTTCCGGCACCCCTAGCGACACCGACAAGTATGCTTCGTGCCAGAGCAGCTGCTACAGCAGCCACTTCTTCCCCGCGACCATGACCAACGCTGGTTCCTCCGGCACTGGTGTCAGCTCCAACGACGCGACCACCACCGGCTCTGGCTCCAGCAGCTCTGAGACTGGCTCTTCTGGTATGTCGCTTATTCTACTTGACCATCCCTCGAACGACCAAGGAAGTCAAAGCTGATTGAATAATCTGCAGGCTCCGGCTCCTCCAAGACCTCTGGCTCCTCCAGCACTGGTACCAGCAGCGGCTCCAACGCCAGCACGACTGCTAACGCTGCTGCTGTTAGCCAGCTACAGCTCGGTGTCTCTGCCGCCGGTCTCCTCGGCTTCGTTCTTGCTGCCTGGGCTCTGTAAGCGAGGACCTCTCCTTTACAGACACGGCCCATGGCTACGACTGGGTCCCAGCTGGTAATGAATCTCGAGACGGGAGTTAATAGGGTTGCGGGACATGGGTCGATTGATTTTGTTTCTTTTTATTCTCACTTGAAGTACTAATAAGGATGCCACCTAATACTGTGCCATAGTTGCCTTTCATGTCTAGTACTTTCAAACTGTTTCAAGATACCAATGCGAAGATGCTTAATCATGACTCCGGCCCATGGGCGTCTACTTCGAATCACAATTTTCCGAACTCCACAGTATGAACGTTGAATAAGAACACGGCACAATCTAGAACATTCAATCCACGTAAGCACGGTTGCCTTGATTGAGTTATCGCTGAAAACCAAGGCAACCGTCAGCCCACCTCCAGTTCGGCGAAGTCTGTCCAAGTTGACGAATCGTCCCGCGGGCCATCATCCCACCTAGGGGACACTATATGCTCTGAAACGTCATTTGAGAAAGTCCGGAAATATTCTCAGTAGCACTTTGTAGCTCAGGAACCATTCGAGATCTCCTAGGTCTTCAGGCCTTCCACTCCACCCCGATCTGTGAAATCCCGTCCTTTGAATCGAGGCTTACTTGGTGCTTGAATCCTTAGAAAATCCAGCAGACGACAACTCATAATGATTCCCTCGCGGCTCCTGTTCATTGCAGTACCTACAGACGCGGCGTCAATTTTTGATGAGCCACGAAGCCACTTAGCTTTACCTTGCCAACATCAGGTATGAGTCGGCGGAGACTGGCGAATTGGTGATGAATTCCTTCTCCCAGGATGGCCACGCAAAGGCAAAAATTGACATATTTGACCTTTTGCGTGTAAGAACAAGAAAGAGTGCATCAGGCTTGAGTAGAACAGTTTGTCCCTGATCTTGATTCTGGACAGGCCCTGGCAGTTTCAAACAGAAATCATTGGCCATGTTGCTGGCGCTTTCAATATTGTAGACGCGAATGGAACCTGGACGTTGGACTACCTCGGCATCAAGCCGGAAGATCTCACTTGACGCAAGGATTGGATATTGCTTGGGGATAACTGCCTGGGTGGCACACTGATCAACCATGTATCCTCAAGCAGCCGCATTGCCGTCCTGCGCTCCTCTGGCAGCAAGTTCAGCTCGGACTGCATGGATTGAATAAACACCTTTTGTTCCTGCCCTGAGAGTCATCTCTCTAGGTTCTCCAGCAAGACCGATGGTATATCAGCGGCTTCATGGCAATCCAGGCGCCTGCATGTGCGTCAATCGCTGTGCGAACGGAAAAAAGCTAACGAGGTACAAAGCAGGACAGTTACGTCGTAGTCAATGCATTGGTCTCTTCCCCAATGGACATTTCCGGGGGTATTTGCCAGACGTTGGAGCTTGTTCTTGATATTGATGGCCTTTATCGCAATGCATGTCTCCGAGCTCTAAACCCACATCATGCGAGCCTCAAGGTACATGCTTGCTTGTATTATAATGAAGTAGTGCCAACTACGGAGTATGTATAACGAGAGATCTAGACCCTGGTCTACAGTTGACTGATAAGGCTGATAAGGTGCGCGTCAACTCCCCGCCCCAGCGCGTCACCCACATCATAAGTATAAATGGGTAGAAAGAAAAACATACACCGTATCTTCCTCATTTCCGGGGGACCCAACTATCAACAGCCCGACACAGCCTCGATCACATAATTTTTTAGCATAGAAACATTTCTCTTCCTCCCACTACCACTACACCCCTACACCCCTACACAACCCCACCTCAACCAAGACCAAACCCAAAACCCAAAAACCACAAAGTGAGGCAAGACGAAAAATGGCCAGCCCGACAGCCACAGACTTCCAACACCTCTACACCTCCATGGCCGCCTTCGTTACATCCTGCATGTCCGCCCACGATCCCTCCCACAACCCCGCCCACGTCCACCGCGTCGTCACCCTCGCCCGCTCAATCCTCGAGAAGGAACAGCTCGCGCACCCGGAGATCCCCTACGACGCCGACATCGTCAAACTCGCTGCCTTGCTCCATGACATCGGGGATAGGAAGTATCTGACGCAGGTTGCTGCGGCTACGTCTGCGGCTGGGGAGCAGGAGGCGGCGGTCGATCCGGCTGGGATGGTGCAGCAGGCGCTGCTGGCGCATGGGGCGGACGCGGCGCTCGCGGAGAGGGTGCAGACCATCGTGACGCATGTGTCGTACTCGAAGGAGGTTAAGGACCCCGCGACGGTGCGGAGATTGATCGACGAGGAGGGGTATGTGGAGTTGGCCATCGTGCAGGATGCGGATCGGTTGGATGCGCTGGGGGCGGTGGGGATTGGACGGTGTTTTACGTTCCTGGGGGCGCAGGGGAAGAAGTATCTTGGTGCCGGGGAGCCGTGGGACATGAATAATGCTATAAATCACTTTCAGGAGAAGTTGGTGCGGCTGGAGGGGATGATGAAGACGCAGACGGGGAGGGACATGGCTCGCGTGCGGACACAGCGGTTGGCCGAATTTCGCAAGTGGTGGGAGGAGGAGATGGAGCAGGCAACCCATATTCCTTGAAGAAGGGACATTGCAAGTTAGAAGATAGTCGCAGCGTACCTATATACAGATTCCTAAGGCCCCTCGGCAAATGCATAATAGATCAAGCAACACATTCCGTAGAACTCATTCTGTCTATCCTATCTCAATACAGTATTTGGGGTATTTAGTATGTAGTAGCAAGAGTATCAGGCATACAGCAAATATTCAGACCCAAAGCGAGAGTCTGGAACCCAAGATGTAGTTATCCTGAAGCCAGAAAAAGCAATCAAAAACAAAACCAACCGTGTAATAAACTCCAATGACCTCGAAACTGCTAGAATATCTCGTGCTGCTCTGCATGTATGAATTTCTATAAGTAAGCATGAGCAGGATACCGAGAACAAACGCCGAGATCAGATCAAAATCTAGAATTATGTCAGGCTGTCCCGATGCGGAATGAAAAATAAGGCACAGGGTACTCCGAGTAGCACAGAAAGGTCTGGTGATGAATTTCAAACCCGGTCTCTAGCAAAATCCAGCACCTCACAGTCGTCTTCGAAGAAGCCGTCGTCGATCCCAGCGCCAGGAGCAGTGGAGACTGCCATGGAATGTCTCTTCTTCCGGCGAGTGGTGATAACAACTTCTTCAACGTTGCCGGTGCTGTTGCCCAGACTAATGAGGTTCTCCATTTCTCCCCCGAAGCCGTGGTGTTGCTCGTGCACGATATCGTCCTCGTCCCCGGTGCCGCCACCAGCGCTGAATGGCCGCACGTGAAGTTTGGTCAGCGAGATGCTGTCGCCAAAGATCCACTGGCTGCCCGGGCCACACGTCAACGGATCACATACTTCATCTTCATTCGAGAAAACGAAGAGATTGACTCTCTGGTCGGTGTGGAAGGGCTGGTAAGGTGCGTTCGTCTCAATCTCGGCCTGAGAGAGGGGCTGGCATCTAATCTTTGAGGTAGTGTGGGGCCGTGAGTTTGAGGACGGCAGAGTTAAGATGGCAGAGACGGTGTGTTCATGGGTGAATGTCCCTATCGGCAGAGGGCCGCATGGAGTTTGAAGGTTCGCGGGCAACTTGTACTCGATTTCCTTGTTTCCAATGACCGACTGCAGCTGGCGATTCTTGTGAGTAGAAAGGGATCGCTTGACCCGGTACAGCCGAAAGAATCCATTATCTACCACACCTAGGAAAGGCTGCCCTTTGTTCGAGAGCCAAACGACACGAGACGCGGCTGGGTCCCGGGCGAGACCGGAAAGGTGCAGTCGATTTTCACCTGCATGCCGGAGAGTATTGACTGTACCAGTCGCTGCACCCATCGATTTGCTAAGACCAGCAGCAACCACCCTCCCACTTCGGACTCCAGCCGCGGAGGGAATTGCGAACGCACCGACTGCAGGAAATGCAGAACCGGCTGACGGAGTGCGGCCTCTGACGGCAGCAAGAATAGGTTGGGTTTTTCCACCAACGAGCTTGAATGCCGCGGATAGAGGATTCGTCACGGCTGCTCTGTCAGTCGTTTCGTCCGTGGGGGAGTTGTTGGCTTGCGACTTGTGGGGTTGAGGACGAGCTCGCCGGAACGGAGGCCACTGGAAAGCACTGCGGGGAAGGTCGAAAACGTGCACTGTGCCTTTACGGGTTATCACTGCCAGACGATCTCCGGATGGAGGGGACCAGATCACATCGACAATGGATGATGTAGTAAGACGCGTGAACCGCGCAACTTGTCGCACGTTGGCTGACGGAATTGTAGAATCCTCGGAGAGAAAGACCCCTGCCCGACAATGCCTGGCTTGCATTAAGTCCCAAACGTACTGGACATCCCCCTTCTTGCTCGCTGTGAGCAGCATCAAGCCATTTGGGGAGAATGACAGAAAGCTACATCCATTAGGGACCTGGAAGGTAGCGATTGGGTTGAGCATAGCATTCCTTGTCTCGCCCCCATCATCGAATCGTCTCAAATCCAGAATCGAGACAAAATCAGGTTCCGCAGGCGACGTCGTTTGCGTTTCCTGGGCATGTGTCGGAGGGAAGAGACTGTATCCTTGTTGTGGTAAGTCCATGAAATTTGAAGACCGCCGAGAGGACGTGTTCTGAGACTGGTCTTTATTCCAGTAATTGTTCCATGCTTGAAGTCCCTGGTCGCCCATCCAGCGGGCACCACGTACCAGCTCTTGTGTGACACCCCTTGCTACTTTGTCAAAGAGGCTCTCGCCCTCGCCAACGTCCGTGGCGGAGGTGACTGGTGGCTTTGCTGGAGGACTACGCGTCTCGAGCCCAGAAACTTTGCCCTGAATAAGTGAGGCAGGCACCGTTCCACGTATAGAGGGTCTATAAGTTGAGGATGGTGGCACTATGGCTAACCATCGTCCTCTAAGCGCAAGCACAGGCTTATCTGAAACAGCTGAACCGTGTGGGGAGTCGTTTCGAGATGCATCCGGATCAGTTGAACTGGACGATGTTGAGTATCGCCGAGCCTCTCTTGTCTGTATGCTTGTCCAGGTTTTACCCAAGCACTGATATGCACATGACGGTGAGAAGGGGTTCATGCCGTATATATACACCTCCCCACTGACGCCGGACGCCAACACAATATGATTTCCACTGACGAGTAGCTTTAGATTCCCAGAAGGAGATGGGGCAAGAGCAGGCAACCCGGGAATGTTCTCAAAACACGGAGTAGGTTTCGTGGTGAAGAGGGTTGCGACCTGCTCTCCGCTCCTGAGTGAGTAAATCTCGGCTCTGGTTTGGTACAGTTTCGACTCATCCTTGCTAAAGCGGTTTTCACCCCGCGGAAGCCTTCCAGTCTGACTAGGTGTTATCTCGTTCGTTTCCGAACCAGCAGAAGATGTCCGCCCTTCGTCTTCACTTGATGCACAGGGTCCGTGTATTATGACGGCGACATGCGGTCTAGACGAAATGAACGGGTCGTTCGATGAGGTACAGGCTAGTATCTTGGCCTCTATCACCCGGCCCCTGAGCCCACTGAGCTTTCCCACTAAACGCGTTTTGCGGTCTTCGATTGCGAGAACGTCCAAGGCGCCATCAGTGCCAACAAGCAATACGGTGCCACCCATTTTAGAGGACTTGAATGCTGGGCCAGACAAAGTGTCAAAGCCACAAAATGAGTAACCTTCATCTCCAGCTGCCCGATTCGAACCAGTAAATGGAGCGAGATCAATATCTGGGGCACCGTAGAAGTGAGGTTGCGGCAGATGAGGTAGGGGAATGTGACCGTCGTACGGGCCACTAAGAGAATGGCTCTTCTGCCTGTCTACAGATTGCTGCCTGGACAAATTGCTGCTCAGGTATCCATTACCGTAGCTCAAAGGTCTCCTTCGAGGAGGAGGAGAGGCTGACGAGGGCTGACTGAAACCACCTTTGTCTAGGTGGGTCGGGAAGCTGAGGGGAGACCCGCCTGCGAGCTCCTCAGTGATGGCATCATTTGGAGGACTCTTCCCATATGGAATTGATTTGGCCCATGTACCCGTACGAATGGCAAGATCATTTTCCGTCGTTTC